AATACTTTTTTAAATTTTAATAAATTATTAATAAAATCTACCATATTTCATCCATAATGCTTTTAAAAAATAAATAACCAAATATCAAAATAACTTTCAGTCACAGTTACAATACAGTTCAATACAATCACAGTCACAGTCACAACATTTCACAGTAATTTCAAATACACCTTCAATCTTTAAAAATGTAAGTCAAATAAACATTAATTTTTATATTATATAAAAAATAAATTTATTTAATAATATATAAAAATTATAAATAAAATTTACTGTATAGATAGATTTTAAGTATATCATTGCCCAAAGAAATCAATGAAGTAAAAATTCTCATAAAAAAAAAAAAAAATCAATGAAGCATCATGGCCCCATGTTGTAAGTAAAATCTGGCCTGATTGGATACGTTGGAACCAAAACAAAAAAAGGGATAACGGTAACGCTATTAAATATGCCCAAAATTGAGTTTGAATAGCTTCTTCTTCTTCTTCTTCTTTTGATTCCAACTTTCAAATTTGAATCTGATGCATAGTGGTCTCTGCCCATTATTTTGACGGTTAGATTTAATTGTCAGACATGAATTCTTTCACGTTTTTTCACTCATTAGTAGATGACCAAATGTTTCTAACGAACACAATTTATATAAATTTTATTTTGCAGAGTAGTTAGACTTAGGCAGAAATTTACACTATATATATAGAAGTTATGAAATTGTCTTTTATTTTCTTCATGGAAAACGCGTGCAAATAAACATGTTTCTAAATTGTTCAGATTGATAACAATTTCACGTAACTTACGTCTTACGTACGTGGTTGCCAAGTTGGAAATTTCAATATGAAATTGCAAAAGGAATATAAATATATATTTTTTTCTTTGGTACGGAAATTATTTTTTTAAAAAAAATAATTTATAATTATTTATAAAGTTAATTGAGAAAAGAGAAAAATGGTTCCGTGGTACAAAAATTGCTTAAGCAAACAATATACAAAAAAAAACCAATACATATGAAATATGTTCGGATTAGTTTAAATAATTAATTAAATTTTTTTTATTGAAAAAAAATGGGGTAATTGGGAGAAGAAGAATAAGAAAAATAAGGGAGTTAAATTTCGATAATATAAATTGAGCACCTACATATGACCACACAATTCACAGGTTAGAGTTTAATTAACTTATTTTGTTTATACAAATATATAATTAATTATGTAATTTAATAATAAAACTTATTTATTTATTTATTATAAATTTAAAGTTGAACATTGAATCTCTCAAATTAAGGAGCGGAACTATAGTTAAAACGCAAGGTGAATTGAAGCCACGACCTACTGGTCTCGTGAATTGAGCAAATGATATGTAACACGAGTTCTTAAATTTTTAACTAATTGGCTATATTACTGACCTGATCTTTATAAATCCCACTTCGTAAAATTTGCTAATCAAGTTGCTGTCCAATGATACCTTCAATTTGGCAGTATTCTCAGGCAATGAGTTTTCTCTTCAAGAGTCCCTTTCGCATCAATTATGTAATTACCATTTTTATGAAAAAAATAAAGGGAAGAGTATGGTTCAATTTTCTTTTCATGAACGAAAAATTGGGTAGGTTTGGTGGTGGGATTTGTTGTCATTACTCACAAATCACCAATCACCATCATGGTAGCACCTATTTAATTATCAATTATCAAGAGCTCCATCAGAAAGAGGAAGAAATGGAGCCCCTGTTTTAATTAATATATCTATATTTTGTGGATCACGGGAGCAAGCCATGCCTCAGACGGCGAAAGAGTTTACTTTTTATTTTGTTGGTAAATACATTATAAATGTCGATAATTTGTTGATTTAAATGGAAGAAATTTGATTTTTTTAAAAATAAAATTTAAAATTTGAGTTTTATAAATGAAAAAAAATATATTGAAAAAATTTCTTTTACAGTTTGACTTAAGATTAATTAAAATTCAATATAATTTTTAAATATTGAGAGTAAATAAAAAAAACATTATAAATTAACAAAAAGGTTAATTAAAATAAATTTTCAACATTTTTTAAACAATTTTGGCATAAATAAAAATAATTTGTCTTTAATTAAATTCACTTTAAATTATGTATAAAATAATGTAACACCATATCATTATTGTTATTTTATGATATTCTTTAAAATAATTGTATACTTTAAATTATATTAAATTATATAATATTAATTATTAAATAAAATTAATTTTTTAATATTAAAATTTTTATATAATAATTTTATTTGACAATATAATATAATTCAAACTATATAAAACATGGTTTCTTTTTTTTTTTTTTTTCCTGATATCAACGCAAGTACTCTTTGATTTTAGAAAAGAAAAAGAAAAAAATACACATTGTAAAATTGGAAAAACGCGGGACCCGAACACTGTTCCATATTTGGCGCTCATTTTAACCTCTGATTCTTCATTTTTACTGTGAGTGTGTCTTCGGCCAGATTTGGCTGTTCTCACATTTAATTTAATGTATTTATATAAATTAATTTTTTTAATACAAATTCAAAAACTTAAATCATATATCTTATTTATAAAATAATGATGTAATTCTTTAATAGTAAATCCAACTCTTCAATTATCTTTTATTATGGAAAAGTGTTTTTTTTTTAAACAAATTTATAAAAGATCGAATTTAATCTATTACTTTAAAAAAATTAAAATGTATTTATACATGATTTGATACCATTAAATTAAAAAGATCTAGCGCGTGGAAAAGTATTGAAAGTGTTGTCGAAGAAGTATATAATTATAATTATTAAAAAAAATATTGAGCTATTTTTTTCTTCAAAATTAATGGTTAATTTTTGCAGTCCGATTTAGGTAGGACTGCAAAAAAGCGTGTGTTGTGGTGGTTTTTTTTTTTTAATCAACAGAGCATTTCTTCTTCCACATCACATCTCTTTCTCTCTGGTAACTGAAGAGAAAGGAGAAGAATCCTCATCTATTCATTTCCCTCCACAGATCTCTAGATTCCCACTCTCAAACCCAGTTTTCCCTATCTAGAACTTTCTTCTCTTTTATCGAAGATTCTTTGCTGCTGCTGCTGCTGCTGCTGCTGATGACGATGATGATTCTAGCAGCTTCGTGAATCTTCTTCTTCTCCGTTGTGCTCTCTCGCTTCATGGACCAAGGGAGGTTCTACGATGCCTGAGCTGCGCACCCGCGCACGCAGAAATCGGGCCCCTAACAACCCTAACCCGAACGCGATTGTCGCCCAACCCGATAACAACAAGTTCACTGCACGCATTCGCCGGAGGAGAACCGCACATAATAGAAAACAGAAGGACCCGATTGTTGCCGTTGATGAAAAGGAGATTAACGGCGGTAATAATATCTTTGACAACGCTGCAAGATTGGGAGCGAAACCGTTTAGGGGAAAGGAAGAAGAGGAGAACAAGGAGCTTAGGGTTTTGAAGGAGGAATTTGCAGAGAAGAAAATGGATGAGTACGATAGTGGCGGCCGTAGCGGGGATAAGGGTCGCGGAGCTGAGGATGAAGGAAGCACAGCCCCGCTTCCGGACAAGGTTTCCCTTCTAACCTTTCTTTCTTCTTCTTTATTTGGAAATTTGTTGGTAAATTTCTGTTTGGATTGGGAGAAAATTCAGAAAAAAGCGGGAAAGGAAAGAAAATTAAGATTTTTTTTAGATGAAAATGGAATCGGAATCATCTTCTTTTTTTTTTTGGCTGTTTGGAAATGAAAAGGGGTCGTTGTCTATCATGATGTTTTTGCCATCTTCATCAGTTTTCAACCATTTGGCTAATGTTTTGGATGCTGTTTTGTTAGCTTCGACTCCAATGCATGTGGATTCTTCCTGGGTAGCTAAATTTATCTTGACATGACGTTTTGAGAATTTCTGTATTGCTCCAGGGAACCTTTAAACAAGCAAAAAATGAATTAACTGTAGTGTAATGTTGCATGTACTGTTGTTGAGCGTGGACAGTCATGTTATTTTAGTTATATATTTTAACAAAAGCATTTTGTCCTTTGTTTGTGCTCACAACAGGTCCAGGTAGGTGGTTCCCCAGTGTACCGTATAGAAAGGAAACTGGGGAAAGGAGGATTTGGACAGGTATATGTTGGTCGAAGAATTGGCCCTACAGGTTTAAATGATAGAACTGGTCCAGGAGCTTTAGAGGTAGGGGGTCTTTCTTTATCAGTTAATTTTTTATTCTATTACCGATTAGGTTGGCATTTGCTTGACTGATCTATCTAACTTCTAGGTAGCCTTAAAATTTGAGCATCGAAGCAGCAAAGGATGTAATTATGGACCACCGTATGAGTGGCAAGTTTACAAGTGAGATTCCTATGATCTCCTTGTTTTATGTTTGATTTGTTTGTGTTATAAGATTCTAAGTATAACTTACATCATTCTTATGTGGTTGCCACTCTTAACTTTCTAATTCTATGCTGTTGGTGCAGTGCTTTAGGTGGCAGTCATGGTGTGCCTCGAGTTCATTACAAGGGCCGACAAGGTGACTACTATGTCATGGTATGCATTTCTTTTAATGACCTTCACTGATCTTTATGATGCGTCTTAGGCTGTGGAATGATTGTGAGATATATTGATAACGTGTTCAGGTCATGGATATGCTTGGACCTAGTTTATGGGATGTTTGGAATAACAACTCACACACGTAAGTACCTCTTGAAGCTACCAGTGGTTGTATCTTGTATAATGTATGTTATATTAATGGAAAGCCATCTAACAAGAAATTTTATCCTTTAAATTTCAGGATGTCAATTGAGATGGTTGCATGTATTGCAATTGAGGCAATCTCAATATTAGAGAAGATGCACTCCAAAGGGTCATACTCTTATCATCAATTTTGCCTCCTTTGGTTTTTTAGAGGGTGGCTTTCCCTGGACAGGGTAGATCTACTTTAGCTATCAGGGACAGTTTAAGATAACTAGTTTGGTTTAATTGATAAATATAAATAACCATTGGAAATGGAGGCTGGTGGTCCCTTCATTCCTTTACTTTTATGCCAGTCAGTGGTTCTTGGATGGAGGGCCTTATCTGGCTTTTATAAGAGACTCATGACTGTTATTATCTTTGCAATGATTGGTTCCTGCAATATAGATTTTAAATTCTTGATTCAATGATTTTTTATTTTTTTTCCTGTTTGCATATGGTGCTGATGCAGCAGCTAGATTTATCCTTTTGCAGATATGTGCATGGGGATGTGAAACCTGAGAACTTTCTCCTTGGTCCTCCAGGAACCCCTGATGAGAAAAAACTGTTTCTTGTTGACCTAGGATTAGGTTAGCATTGGATTATACTGCTTATTTAATCTATTCAGTTTAGAGTTTTACCGAAATTTTCATTTCCAATATGTTTTACTTTTCAGCAACCAAGTGGCGAGATAATTCAACTGGCCAACATGTTGAGTATGATCAACGCCCTGATGTTTTTAGGTAAAATTAATTACCTCTATTTGTTTACCTGGATATATAAAACCACAAGCCTAGAGTCTTGTATTGCTTTTACCTGAGATTGTAGTTAATTGGCTATTGATCATGGCTTGTTGCAGGGGAACTGTGCGGTATGCTAGTGTGCATGCTCATCTTGGTAGAACAGGTAGCAGGAGGGATGATTTGGAGTCTCTTGCTTACACACTCATTTTCCTCCTCCGTGGACGGCTACCTTGGCAAGGATATCAGGTTTGCAGTTTTGTTATTTCAACTCTATTGCTTCAATTATATTTTCTGATTATTCTGAATTTCTGATGCACTGGTTTCTGTAGGGAGAAAATAAAGGCTTCCTTGTTTGTAAGAAAAAGATGGCCACTTCCCCAGAAACTCTCTGTTGCTTTTGCCCCACACCTTTCAGACACTTTGTTGAATATGTGGTGAATTTGAAGTTTGATGAGGAACCCAATTATGCAAAGTATATCTCCCTTTTTGATGGGATTGTTGGTCCAAATCCAGATATTCGACCAATAAACACAGATGGAGCTCAGAAGGTAGTTCTAGTGTTCTTCTATCTTTGTTTTATGGTTGGTTATTGATACAGAGACATGGCCTTCCCTGAGGTGGATTTGATTGAACCTATACCTTTTATATTACGAAGCTTATATATCAAGTAGGCCATAAGAGGGGGCGTTTGACCATGGAGGAGGAAGAAGATGAACAACCAAAGAAAAAGGTTCGAATGGGGATGCCTGCAACACAGTGGATTAGCGTGTACAATGCTCGAAGGCCCATGAAGCAAAGGTCTGTTCCTTGAGAACACCATTGAGCTTTTCAAGTTAATGACCAAATGGTAGAAGTTCATCTTTTCCATTTACTTTTGCAGGTATCATTATAATGTGGCAGATATGAGGCTGTCCCAACATATTGACAAAGGAAATGAAGATGGATTATTTATCAGCAGTGTGGCTTCTTGTTCAAACCTGTGGGCCCTAATTATGGATGCTGGCACTGGTTTCACTTCCCAAGTTTATGAACTTTCTCCACACTTTCTTCACAAGGTTGCTTGTGTTCCCAGTTTATTTAGAGATGGTTGTTTATTGCAATTCTACCATATTGCATATTGCACAAGGCAATTATGCATTAGGATATATGGGTTTTTAAATGCATAACAGAAAAATTGAATGCACCTTAACTTTGGCTAAGTTCAGAATTTTCAAAATTTAATGTAGTCAATTTTTGTTACATTTTGAAGGAATGGATTATGGAGCAGTGGGAAAAGAATTACTACATCAGTGCAATAGCAGGAGCTAATAATGGGAGCTCATTGGTTGTGATGTCAAAGGGTGAGTATAATTTTCCATGAAGCACTTGTGATTCTCATTTCCCCCCCAAATATCTTACTTAAATTCCTTTACTTAATGTAGGGACCCAGTACTTGCAGCAGTCTTATAAAGTAAGTGATTCATTTCCCTTTAAGTGGATCAACAAGAAATGGAGGGAGGGTTTTTATGTGACTGCCATGGCCACTGCTGGAAATAGATGGGCGATTGTTATGTCACGTGGTGCTCCATTTTCTGACCAGGTGTTGTTGGGTTTCTTGAATCTCTGTTCATGAGAATACATTTTGGTTATTATGAAAACATGATGATATGACTTTCCTTCTGGATATGTTTGCAGGTTGTGGAATTAGATTTTCTTTATCCTAGTGAAGGTATTCATAGGAGGTGGGATAGTGGCTATCGAATCACATCAACTGCAGCAACATGGGATCAAGCTGCTTTTGTTCTCAGCATTCCTAGAAGAAAGCCAGCAGATGAAACTCAGGAGACTCTCAGAACTTCTGCTTTTCCTAGTACTCATGTCAAGGTTGTGCATTCAGATTAGTGTTTTTTTGCTGATTCTGTCCATCCTTATATTTCTAAAAGTATAAGTTCCAAATGGCAATTATTTTCCTCATTTCTATTTTCCAGGAGAAGTGGGCGAAGAATCTTTATATTGCATCAGTTTGTTATGGTCGAACTGTTTCATGAACAGATGAAGTTTTGTTTATATGCCACTCATTTTATTAGATCACATGCTCGTGCAACCACAGACATCTTCACTGCTCCGTTTTCGGAACTTCACTCTTTAGTCAGATTGACTGACTGCAGCATTTGAGAGTTGATGTATGCAAAATTCTACTTGTAGCACACATTCAAGCACCTGTGCACTGCCAATCAAATTATTGCAAAATGCAAATGAGCTAATGTTTTATGTCTATGCTTATCTTATGTGGTTGCTCTTACCTGTTATAAGGGTTTTTTGTATAGTTTTGAACAATAATTACTTGGCTGGAGGCATGTGCACGGGTTTTATTTTGATTGTTGGTGTTCAAGGAACTCACAATTATGGTTTGCATTACACTCCAGATGTTGAATCATTCACTCTTTACTGTTTCTTCCCTTACTTTCCAGACTAGAAGATCCTTTTGATCTTTAATCCCTTATTTTTTCAGATGTCTGAATTTGACAGAAACGAATATTGCTTATTATGTATATTGGTTATGATTATTGTTTCTTGTGCTATAATTATTCTTATATACTTGTCTCATTAGAGCTAATCCAATGCATGGAGTTGTTCATCTAAATGTCATGCAGTTAGTTTGAATATTATAATTCATGACCATAGTAACCTCAACACCTTCCAAGCAATTGACACCTTACCCCCAACTAAAGAGAAAAGAACCTATATTTTCTTTGAGTAGGTTTTAAGATTTTGTTTTCCCTGAGTATGTATTGGAGATGATTTCTTCTTTCCCAGAAGGTTCTGTAATTCTGTAGTGGATGAGCTTTATGTGTAAATGAGGTTAGATACAAGGACGTGTGTGTTAGTGTTTCTGTAGGAAAGCTTGTAGCAAATTGATGGCGTAGTCTCTAACACTATTGTTCTGTATTTGATTCAAATTTCGTTCCTTGAATGTGATTATGCCACACTTTGGACATAGAGTGGTATTATTAGCTGATTGTTTGTTGAATTTATCCAAGGCTTCAAAATATAAGCGTGGTAGATATTTTTGTATTATTGAGTAACACAGGAAGATCTCAGAAGATGTGCAGCAGTTGGGACCACTCTTTTGCTACATGGAAACCTAATAATAAACTGCCATGTCTCAGGATTGACTGTCACTTGGTAACTTAAAGCATAGTTTTAAAGCCTGTTAAAAGTTGCTCTTATCAGTATGCATTTTTTATGGATTTGATTATACTTTTTTATGTTATTGTTCCTCAAATCCTCAGTCTTTTCTCTCCTTATGTTTTCAGGGATAACTTGAGAATTCATTTCTCTTTTGCCATACCAGTCTCCAGTTTTTTTGCATCTAAATCGGTAAGCAGATGGTTTCGGTCTTGTGTTTTTTGAAGTTTCTTGTGCTTTTCTAGTTCATCTTATGTCTGTACATGCTAACTTTTTCCAGGTTGTGTAAGCAACGAATTGGAAGCACACACAACTAACCCTGAGCATATCTGGACATCACATGGAATGTCAATGCTACTATTGGAGAAAGCCAGGTCATTGCATAAGTAATGATATGTACCTATGTTTTTGTTTAAGAGGTGTGTTTAAAAGCATATGACTGCCATAATTTCCTCTAGGTTACTGAATTTTTAGTTTCTTACATAGATATTTGTCTGAAGCCAAGATCCCCCCCCTCTTTTTTCCATTCTTTTCAGCGTTGTGGAATTCTTGTTTGTGGCTGGTCATGCCTAGAGCAATTTCTTTTGGTGATATTATAGGTGGACATTGTTTGGCATGGGGTTTGCCAGACATGTAAACTATTTAGTGTATATTAGACTTGTTCTCTAGGAATTAGGAAGAAGTCTCTTACCCTTTGCAAGCTGGCATAGGTATACTGTCTATTATGTTCTTTAGAATAATGACTATGAGGCATATGAAGTGGGCATGCGCATATTTAGGTTTATCCTTGTCCTTGACATGTGATGGCAGTCTGGGGTTTAGTTTAACCCTTGTACCATAGCTAGTCTAGCTGCCGAAGCTCTTAAGGTTTTTTCTGTGTGGTGAAGTGCCTTGAAATTCTAGTGATTTGTGATATAAAAGAAAATGTACAGTTTTGTTAAAATTTCCAGGACTCAATAGATAACGTAAAAAAAGGCCCACAAAAAACCACATACATGTATAACCAAAACTGCGTGAATTGTGTAGTTTTGATCACAATTGCCTCTTCTTTCTACATGGTGCGAACTAGAAAAAAAATAGAAGTAATTAATCATTCTTTTCTTTGCTTTGATTGTCTTATCTCATCACTGCACTTTGATAACTCTCCTCTCCTAATCACAGGACTGGGAATCAAAGCCTTTTCTAATGGCATCACTGAACCCTACGGCTGCAAATTCGTTTTCATCTGCTTCGTCAATTGTCTTGTAGAGGATAAAGATGCTGGAGCTAAATGAATATCTGGTTAACAAAAATATCTCTTCCTTCAGTTTAGAGAGCAATCCAATAATGAAATGTAAAGAAATTATATCTTGTCAATTCAACGCCAGCATCATACATCGTTTCAATTTCTCTGCATTTACAAGAGACGTTGGTAGCTGCTGTGGTGGTCTTAATTAATGTCATCGGACTTTACCCTATGCGTCTACTTCTAACCTAATGTAACTTGATAATTGGTATACAGTGATTTCTTGAGTCCTTATCCTGGTGGTCGAGTTTGGACCGCTGAAGCTCTGTCCTTGTTGACTCGTCAAGCATCAGGACAATGACATATTATAAGTGCATAATGTTGCTTTGCAGCCTACCATAAACAGTTAACTACTGACAAAGGGTGGGTCTTCAACTCTTCAACATGAGGGGGTTCCTCACCTCACTTTATTTTTCTTGTTATAATTATTAAAACTAATTTGAAATTTGAAAGGAAAAAATACCGGAACGAGTTCTTCCTTGAGTGTCTTTAGTCATTCAACACACAAAAAAAAAGGGATAATCATTGTATGTAACTAAACTAAATAGTTATTCAGCATAAAAAAAACTAAATAGCTGTCCAATCAACGTTACCTCTCCATTACTGTTAGCTGTTAGTGGTAAGTTTTAATTACCGTACTAAATAGATCCTCATTTGGTTGTGATACTAAACAAATTTTTGTCCTTAGTATATCTGAATGAATTATATAAGGGAGGATAATTTTTCATTTTTCTTAAAATTTTTTACTTGATTCAAGGTTCAAATTTGATATCTTAAACTTAAAATTTTAAACTTTAAAACATTGAGCTACCCTTTCAGGAATAACAAACCCTTGTTTTAACTATGGTGGTGCCACTCGTCTACTTTCTATATATATTTTGCATTTATGAATATCTAAGGATGGTTTTTGGCAGTTCTCTTGCATTTTTCAGTTTTCTCTAGTTTGGATTAACCCATTAACAATACTTGGTTTTAATTTTGAGTTTATTTTTACATAGTTAATTGCATTTTTAAAATTTTTTTGGCCATAATAGTTAATTGCAACTTCAGTTGAAAAAAAAAAAAAAAGAATGTAAAGGAAGCCAAAAAACCTTTAGTCTAGATACCTTCCAATCTTCTAGAACATCTACACACTTAGTACTCTAGACAATGAAGTGAAATCAAATGCATCATAATTCAAGAAAAAAAGTGTCCAAGTAAAAAAAAAAAAAAATGAAGAAAGAAAGAAATCGTAAGAGTGACACTTGGTGCAATCCTTAATAAGCATTCAAGCAAAATTTTTATAAAATTATGCATAGTACTAAGCAAAAAAACTAATAAGCTTACTGAGTGAGTACAAAAGCAAATTAAATACCATTTTGATTGCTGGTAGGAACTAATAATTTTATTTAATGTTTTGTATTACTACCTTTGCATATTTTATTACTCTCTTCATTTAACAATAATAGTTTTTATTTGAATTTTTAAATTTTAAGATGAAAATTTATGTAAAAATTTAACATAATATAAAAACAATTAAAATAAAATTTTACCTAAATTTTTTGTTTTGAAAGTTAAAAAATTGAATTAAAATTATTATTGTTGAATGGGTGGATCATTTAATTGAAGTATATTATTAAAAAAATCATTTCTAAATTTTATTTACTCCTATAAATTATTATAGTAAAGTAGAAAAAAATGAAGTATATATATTTCTATTTTTTAATTTTTTTTCATATATTTGTGCAGTAATTATTGATTTTTCTCCATTCAGTCTCAATGGTAAGTTTTAAAGTATTTATTGTGTAGATTAGCGATGTTATAATTTTTGATAGGTGATACTGTAGAGGTAATTTTTTAATATTAATTTTTATACAATTTTAACATGTTATTAAATGAGTGGATGTATTTAATATTACAGATCCTACATAAATTAAAAAAATTAATAATTTAAATAATATGTTAAATTGTATAAAAATATAAGATAAAAAAATTATATGAAAATTATTTTCCTATGTTGTATTATAGACTGTCAATTCCTTTTTTGATATTCTAATTACTATAATATTAATTCATTATGATATTTAGCCGATCGAGTTTGATTGGCGTGAGAGGGGTGTTTTACCTGACGTCTTTGATTAGGGTTCTTGTGGTACGTATGCGCTTTTTTTTTTTTTTTTTTTTTTTTAATATTACACTACAGTAAACAGCAGCTTCCTCTCTCTTTCTTCTTCTTATTTTTTTTTAATTTTTTTAATGAAAGGATGATAAATTTATTACAATAATCATTTAAATATCATAAATTGCACAGGTTTTTGCTTCCTTCTCTTATTTCTCTAGAGAATAATTTTTTTTTCTTTTAATTTCTTTGTAGAATACTGTAAATAATATTTTGTTTATATTTTATACAAAATGAGAAAAGATCCATTTACATATAAATCTTACACATTATATTTATACAAAATCTTAACAATTCATCTTTTTACTTTTAATTGTTGATATTTATCATAATTTTTTAAATAAAAAATAATTATTTTTAATAAATATAAATAAATTTTGACTATTAAAAATTAAGGATGAATGATTGAAATTTTATATAAATATGATGTGTAAGATTTATATATCAGTTGATCTCTCCTCTAAAATATCTTCATATAATTTTTATTTTTTTTTTACAAAATTTTTATTAATTAATAATATTTATTATTATATTTAATTTTTGAAGATTGCTGTTGGGCAATAGTAGCTTGTAACTCTATCAGCGCAGCACAAGCAATCAAGTTTAATATTAATCTTCCACCGATGGTTTACTCCTACCAACAACTGATAGACTATTGTGAGAGTAAATGGGGCGATCTAAAAGGCAATGAATGTCAATTGAGAGTTGTTCTAGGAAGGCCTATGACCATATCGTAAGCTATGGACTGGCAAAGGGCAAAGATTACGAGTTTGAGGAGCAAAGAAATCCCTGCCATTTGGTGAAGCCAGGGGCGGTAATACTCTTCTTTTTTACATTTAATTCTTGTAATTTTAATTTTAAATTGATCAATAACTAGATTATTATTATTATTATTTGAAGGATCTCCGCTATGATGTACTTGAGGGTTACGAGAATCTCCAAGATGACAGACAGGGAGTGTTCCAGATTATCAATGAACAACCAGTGGCATCTTGGATTTATTTAAGTCGCAGCTTTTACCACTTCTGCGGTGATGTAAATTTAATATCTTCTTTTTAGTTTTATCATTGTAAATTCAATCTGCAATATATATTTTTTATCATCATAAACTCAATATTTTATGATTCTTTATATTACTTTATTGCATTATAAAAGAATTAGTTTAAGGGCAAATTGCATCTATCCTTGTGATTCAGAGTGACAGTACAA